TTTTGCTTAATGTTTTTTCCTGTATTATATCAACACTGTTGCCTTATTCTTTAGAAATTTTCATCACAAACTGTCCTGAATAATGTATTTTTTCCGTAATTATTGTAGTATGGTTTTTGCATTTACTATTAGTTTTAAAATTTATATTTATTTAAAGTTTTACATTTACTTCCTACTTTTTTCCCTCCAATCATAAGTCCCTCCACTGCTGCTATCTCACAATTTCCCTTTATCTTTAATTTTATATGTGTGTATGTAAATATGTTTATGTATTTCTCTGTTTGTTTTATATAAGTGTTTTATTATAGGAACCAATTACAAATTAGAACAGCAGCTGATTATAGTTTATACCAAGTTGACAGTTGCAAGTAACCACCACAAAATTTGCAAAAGCAATCAAATACCACTCTTGTACATAAAATGTTTTCTTTTACATAGCTAACCAAAAGTACCTGAAGATGCTCAATTTTTTGACAAAAATATAAAGAATCAATATGGAAATAACAATAACTTATTCAATAAAACCTGGCTATGCATGTATAGAAGAATGAAATTATATTTTATATATTTATACTGTCTGAATAATCTATTCAAATCATTTTGAGACTGGCATTACAAAGTAAAATTCCTGACTACAAAAAGGAAATCTTAGGGAAAACACTTTAGATGTAGGTTCCAGTGTGAATTTTTAATAGAATTCTAAGAGCACAAGAAACAAAACCCCAATTGGCAATATTATTACATGAGGTTACTCAGCTTTTCCACAGAAAGAGAAACTGTCAATGAATGAACACAGAGAAATTCTGAAGAATGGGAGTAAACTTGTTCTTCTCTTCTATAGAGTGTTAACATGTGGAACATTTGAAGAAGAGTTAAAATTGAACAGTAAACCTAAAAATAAATTTAAACTACCCTCAAACTATTGAGCAAACTATAAACCTGAAAGAACAGTATCCAAAACAGTTCAAATGTCCTGAAAATACATTTTAAGATGCTTGCCAACTTTTTTCTTCCTAAGGATTTTTTTTTATTATTTTACATACCAATCACAGATCCTCCTCTCCTCCCTTCTCCAACCTCTACCACTTTGTCCCGCCAGCCCACACCCTATTCCCTACTCCAACAAGGCAAGGTCTCCAAAGGGAAGTCCTCTGAGTCTGGTATACTCAGTAGAGGCAGATTCAATCCCCCGCCTCCCATGCGCATCAAGGCTGTGCAAGATGTTCCATCATTGGTAGTGAGCTCCAAAAAGCATGCTCATATACCAGGTATGGTTTCTGATCCTATTGCCAGGGGGCCCCTTAAGCACATCAAGCTGCTAAACTGTCTATCTGTTATAGATACAAAGCTCAGTGTCCAAAACTGATGATTGTCCCTGGCTCTACCATAACAGGATAATTGGCTAACAAAGTTGTAAAAGATTAGCACATCCCAGGGGAGAATGAATACCTGCAGAGGAGAAACAAATAAGCAGTCCATCAGCATAGCCTGTAAAACTTAAATTATCAGAACCCCTATGATGTACAAAGGCATCTTGGTCACCCCCTGCCCCATTAACTTGGCGTCATTTACTATAACCTTAACTTACTCATATTCCCAAGTTTCAGGATAGAAGAAAGGTATCCCAGGGATATATGTCCAATATTGCTCCCAAGCCTTGCATAAAGGCACAAGAAAAAAAATCACTACCTGGATAGTAAAAAAGGCAGTCATAGCCAGAGAAAATGGGGAAGAGGTTACATCTGTTTCTTGATCCCCGACTGTATCTTCAGTATGTGATATTAGCACCTTAACTGGGCCCTAAATTGGCAAAGAAACCTTCTAGGTTGCCCTGGTACACTGCATTGACTAAGCTGTAAAAGCAAAGAGGGAGTTGGATCAGTAGCTCAAGGGGAATCACAATTGTCCATGTCCTCTGCCGTATTCAATGGCAGTTGATGGGAGTGTCTTTTTGTATGCTGTGAAAATATGTAGTTCTGATTGGTTGATAAACAAAGCTGTTTGGCCAATGGTGAGGCAGAATAGTGTTAGGTGGGAGATTCTAACTAGAGAGGAAGAAGGAGAAAGGCAGAAAAGGAGATGCTGCCAGCTGCTACCATGAGAAGCAAGACATAAAGATACCAGTAAGCCATGAACCACGTTGCAAAAAATGGGTTAATTTAAAATGTAAGATCTAGCTAGCAATAAGGCTGAACCATTAGGGCATATAGTTTTAATTAATATAAGCCTCTGTGTGTTTATTTGGTTCTGAGCAGCTGTGGGCCAGGCATGACTGGAGGAAATTCTAGCTATAAATGGCCCCCAAGGGCTGGCTCAAGTTTTCACCTGAAACCTGAGAATATGTATTAAGCAATTCTTTTTTAAAACATTATTTTATAATTTAATTTAAATTTACATATCAGCCACAGATTCCCCTGTCCTCCCTCCTCCATTCCCCCCTGCCCTCCCTCGGCCCACCCCCATTCCCATCTTCTCCAGGGCAAGGACTACCCTGGGGATTCAGCTCAGCCTGGTAGATTCAATCCAGGCAGGTCCAGTCTCCTCCTCCCTTCTTGCAGGCTGAGCAAAGTATCCCTGAATAGGCCCCAGGTTCCAAACAGCCAGCTCATGCACTAAGGACAGGTCCAGGTCCCATTGCCTAGGGGCCTCCCAAACCATTCAAGTTAATCAGCTGTCTCACTTATCCAGAAGGCCTGATCCAGTTGGGGGCTCCTTAGCTATTGGTTCATAGTTTATATGTTTTCTATAAGGAGTCAAAAACAGGTTCCTGCTTCATGTTTCATGTGGGTTGCAACATGTGGGCTTGAGCTACAGTATGGTGGGTTCCTGTCATGCTGGCTTTACCAATGGCATAGCTACAGATTCCCACCACAGTACACAGAGGCCTCTCCAAGCTGCACAGCATGTTGCCTGGTGGAGAGTTGGTACACATGGCTCTCAGAGCCAGAGCAGATGGTAAACATACCATTGCCATGTTGGAGCTGAGATGGGCAGATGGGCGGAGCCAGCAGCCAAAGCTGCCATTTCTGTCCTAGTAATGCAGCAATTTAAAGCAATAGATTCACAGTAAATCAGATTCAGATTAAATAAACCTCTAAATGGCTTACGTTGTGTGTAAAATTGCAAATAGGCTTAAAAGAAAAAAGAAGATAGACAGTAGATAGATAAAGAAATAGATAGTTTTAAAAAATAAAGTCTTTAAAAAGAAAATAAAAGTAATATAAAAATAAGCCATGTAAAAATGGATATTACATAGAGAATCTGGATTATGTTGTCTTTGATAATTTAATGGCAGAAAGACATTTGATTGTAAAGGCTGCTCAGTTAAACCAATATGTATATCTTAAAGGTATTTTGACTTCAAAATTTGGATCTAAGGATATGTTGCTTTGGAAAGGAGGCTCTGCTTTTGTTTCCACAGGAAACAAGAGGCTATCAATTTATTCCAGGTTAAGCTACATCAGTTTTGACCAGCCAAGACCCCCTGAAAGGTCTCCAGTGACACCATGGCCTAGATCATCCAACATCCAGAACAGTTTCAAGGCAACTGGCTGAGACAATGCAGCCTCACAGACTATTAGAGTTAGGACTTGACTGTAATTCTTAATTTTCTCAGGATCCCTATTAGATTGCCAGCACCCTCATCCAGCAGGAAGTAGTATGAGAAGCTATGCCCAAATTTCCAAAATATTTGTTGATGAATGTTTATTTTTATTTAAAGTGGGTTGATTATAAGTGCAATCTCTTTCTAAAGAAAAAAGTGGATAGTATAGATATGATAAGATGAAGAGAAGATTAATGAACCAACTTATAAAGAGCAACAACTTGCTTGAAATGTTTTACATTGTTGTGGATTTTAGTTTATTGATACAAATTTATAGTTGGTTTTGTTATAATATATATATATATATATATATATA